GAACCGATTTTCTATGAAGATGCTGTAGATGATGCTCTTAACGCGACGATACACACGGTAATATATTTGCTCAGTGTTTTTCGGTGATAGACCTATTTATTGAAGAAAGGCGGTAGGTTTGTTCTGGCTACCCGATCTGATTCCGTACTATAGGTGATGGACAAAATCCGTAGTGACGAACCAGAGAAGAAAAAACGTGGCAGAAGAACGAATAGAGATCGATGGCTTGCTGAGTACCAGGCCTTGGAGCGAGACTTTGATGAGCGAGAGCAGGCCCAGGCTAGAAGAAGGCACTTACCAGCACGTAAGGCAAGGAATCTCGATGCTCTTTCTGGAGATCGGCCCGCAACACTTTCTTCTGGTGAGGACGACGAACCAGATATAGACGTGGTGGGCCCATCGTCTACCAGCGCTTGCGTGAGTTGGATTCATATTTTACAGTATGAATCTGCCTAGTCTAATGTGACACGCTATTTGTAGCATCTGGTTACCTGAGCTCTCAACACGCTAAATCGATTTAGAAACATGTTTTACAAAAACGAAACATTTGTAACAAGTCTGATCATTTAGTCCTTTGTCTTCACCCCTATCTCTACTTCGAAGCGGGCTGGCGCTGCGCTGGCCTCCCTGAAACACCCCAGCAACAATACTGTAATTGGTCTAAATTTTGCTTCCCTGTTTAAGCATCCGGTGGTCACAGAGTAAGTAGAGAGCAAATAGTCATGTTATTTTCCACCAGGCGGGATTCATCAGTAACATCTTAGCGAGAGAAGAAGGAGAAAGTAGGGTACAATTTACCGCAGTGGAGCAATATTCAGCGCACATGTAGCACGGGTCCGCAAGCTGTCAGGAAGAAGAAGAGGAGCTGTCGCATAGCATGTTAATGACCAGGAAACCTGCATACTGCATCATTGTCAGTGACGTCTCAAGACATTTCATATGAGACGTCAGTGACACGTCATATGCCTTCTAACTGCTAATATACTAGGCCCCATACCTATGCTGCATCAGTACCCTATATTCATAAGTGGATTTATTTATTTTAGATCGGTGATGTAGTCAGCCCTGCTGTCAGCGAAACGGGGCTGGGTGAAGTTGATGAGTGCATGAGTACGACTGCTGAAGTGGACAGCATGGAGTTTGAGACAGTAGCAGAGGTTTGTCATATCATCTCAACTTCAACTTGGTGATTCCACAGGCAAAGTTTTTTTCCCCTCAAATGACGCCGCGATAATCTTTTCAGTGACTTTTAAATCTTATTCTTATCTTATTCAATAATTAGGCTGGAGTGATTGAGTAAATTTTATACCTTTGATTATTTATTGTTTGTAATTGCTTTGAGGTGCTGGGCGTTGGACCCCCAAAAAGGAAGCGAGGGAGACCGAAGAAATCTGTTGTGGCTGAATTTGCCTCTAGTGAGGAGAACCAGGTGAAGTCAGCTACGGCGCCGAAGCGGAAGAAGAGCGCACCATTAGAAGGCGAAGGCGACGAAGAAGAAGAAGAAGAAGTGGAGCTTTAAGTGATTTGCTACAAGTCCTTGGATTGATGTTGTTGTGAAGGTTTTTTTTGTTCGGGTAATTGTTTATTTTTATTATTTCCCTTACGGTTCTCATCTCTGAAGAAGCTTTTGTTTATCGTATTCACTAATTTAGTTTTTGCGATGTAGTAACTTTTTTGACTTCATTCAGAAGTTTTTGCATGTTCTTTGTAGAATTGTGAGTTTGAATACGTTTCTGAAGAAGAATAAAGTTTGCTTGATATGCGTTTGTCTGGTAGAATCACTTGATTTCGACAAGCCTACCTTCCGCTTTAGAGGGGTTCACTTGTAGCTGTGAAATGAGCATCACTTCGTAAGATGATTGTCAAAACTACCTTTTGTGATTATTTTATTCGCTTGTAGTCTGCGACGAGGCCTACATGGGTCCAACCTCGTATAAGGCTTTTTATGACCTTTTCGCAATCAACACTGCGAGTTGAATTTCTCTCCGCCTTTTTTTATAGAACCCTCACTGCTCAGTTGGCCCCATGTTGACGATTTATCCCAGGCTACACCGTAACGATGTGAAAAATTGATCGTTAAGCATGACTCGGCTTTTTCCTCTGGCACGAACCTCTTTCAACGATTTCAAAATATCTGTCAACCGCCAAGCCTCTCCTATTTTCTTCTTCCTTTCTTTTCCTTTCCTCCTTCTATCTTCTCTCGGATGACATTATGCTTCCGGACGTTCGAGTGAATATTCAGTTGCCCCTGTACCAGCCCGT